CTTCCTTCCTTCCTTCCTTCCTTCCTTCCTTCCTTCCTTCCTTCCTTCCTTTCTTTCTTTCTTTCTTTCTTTCTTTCTTTCTTTCTTTCTTTCTTTCTTAGTTCCTTGAGAATCTCATACAGTTTCATATACTCTGCACCTTGGCCTGTTATAATTCTTAATCACCATCTACTGCAAACAGAAGGATCTCGAACGAGAGCTGACAGATGCCCCAATCAATGGGCCTAACACTAAGTCATTAGGAGTTGGGTCAATACTATGTTCCTGTAGCAGAATAACAAAGTAGGGTCCGTGCTATCGGTTCTTGGCCTGATAATGGTGGTATAGGTCTCATCTTGTGGAGCAGGCCTTAAGTCCAATCAGAAAGTGGTTGTTATCACTCTGGCTCATACTTAGTTAGCTTTCATGCATAGCCCAGGACCACCTGTCTAGGGATAGTGTTGCCCACAGTGGGCTAGGCCCTCCTGCATCAGTTAGTAATCAGTACTATCCCCCACAAACATGTCAACAAGCCAATCTGATCTGGGCAATTCTTCAGTTGAGGCTTTTGTCTTAGGTGAGTCTAGGCTGTGTCAAATTGACCAAGCTAACTAGGACCCTTGAATGTCACATCATTACTCACACAACCTTATAAACCATCTAACAGGGCTGGAGGGATGGCTCAGTGGGTAAAGTGTGTGCTACACAAGCATGAAGACCCAAGTTCGGATCCTCAGCCCCCACATAAAAGCAAGCTGCAGCAGCACATATCTCTAACCTCAGAGCTGGGGGTGGAGACAAGCAGATGGGGGGGGGGGCTTGTCAACCAAGCAGCCTAAGCAAAATAGCAAGGTCGAGCTTGAGGTTCATGAGAGACCCTGTCTCCAAAATAAGGTGGAGGGGCTGGAGAGGTAGTTCAGCAGTTAAGAGCTGAATTTGAAGCTGGATTTGAATCCACATCAGGCCTCCTGGAACTACCTGTAACTCCAGATCTAGGTGATCCAGTGCCCTCTTCTGGCCTCCTCAGGCATCTGCATGTACATGGCACACATACGTATATGCTATCATGCACACATAAATAAATGACTGAATGTTTTAATAAAATAAATTGGGGAACACTAGAGGAAGACACCAGACACACACTCACCTCAATACCCCCCCCATATACATGCAAAATAATAATTTGTAAAAGGGGTGTTAATATTTTAGATTATGTTTACTATATGTGTATGGGTGTTTTGCCTGCATGCATGTCTGTGTACCACATGTGTGCAGTGCCCAAGGAAGCCAGGAAAGGATATTGGATCCCCTGGGAATGGAGTTAGATATGGTTATGAGCTGCCATGTGGGTGCTGGGCATTGAACCTGGTTCCTCTGAATAGTGACCAGTGTTCTCAACAAATGAGCCATCTCTCCAGCCCCCAAATAATAGTTTTTTTAAGATCTCATAGATGATGATGTCCTAAAAAGCGCAGATTGGAAACCATCTTATGTCACAAATCTGGGCTCTGGGGCTAAACTTGATGGACATCTGGTCCATTCTCAGACAAAGGTGTTACTAGCAGACAGAGCAGCTAGAGTGCAGAGGACGGTGATTCACTCACTATCCGGGGCCTGGTGCAGAACAGGTGGAAACAGGCAGGCCTCTTTATTGTACCACATTCAGAGATACCTGATTCCTCTAACAGTGGCACAAATGGGAAAGGTCCTTGTCATTTGCTAGAACAAACCATCTGGTGCTATCACCACCAAGCCTTACAGAGACACAAAGCTTAAAAAACTGAATGGAGCTGGAGATTTTCTCCCATTTCCTTCCGCCTCTTCCTCCACCACCCTCCATACACAGCAATTTCACCTGAAATTCTGAAAGAAGGGAAACGCCACCACCAGCTCTTTCACACCCCCCAGAAGTGTGGTCCTTACAAGATTTGCTCTGAATTTTCAATTTACGATCTCCACCGAAGTCAACACATAGGCGTAGAGGGGTTTGGTTTGGGTTTTATATTTTACAAAGAAGCATCGTTATACTGGTGATCAGGGGTCTCTAGGGTAGAAATTGGGAAGAATCATTAATGTTGATAGTTTTGAGAAAGGACAGGGTCTTTGTGCACCCAGAAGGTCCCCGTCCTAACTCAACTGCGCGACCACGGAGCCGTCACTGCCTCAAGGCACGTTCTCCCCTGCCTCTGATGACGCTGGGGTCAGAAAGAAGAAAAAAGGAAGGAAGGGGGCCAGCAATCATTTGTCCGACAGCCATGATGCCACAGGAAGTTCTTTGCCTGAGAAGTTAGAGCAGGTGACCAAAGCTGCTGGGTTAGTGCTCGCTGACTGTGTGACTTGAGACCGGTCCCTGGGGACACTATTGGTCTCCAGCTCCAGGGCCCCTTTTACCCTTGGAAAACATTTCAAATTTTTCTGAAATACAACATAACAATGCAAGTTCTACCTGCATTTTTTTTCCCTTCTCCTCTATCTGTGCAAGTACTCAGACTTGAAAACATGACCAGCTTTCACACCCCCCACGCAGGGAACATTCCTTACAGTATCTCAAGGGTGAGTAATTTCATATCTGAACAAGCAGCTCAATAGTAAGCCATGCTTACTTCTGGACATGAGGCAGCTAAGCATTTCCAGCTGCTTTGGACAAATTAGTCAGCCCAGTATTTCACCGCTTTTTTTCTTTTTTTTAAATAATGAAGATAATGATTATTGAGTATAAACACATGATCTTAAATCACCTCTCCCTGTCTGGTATATGTTTTGAGTTTGGGGGAAGTTCTTCGGGGAGAGATATTTCTTAAGCTTTTCATTGTCCAACATCTACAATGTTAGAGTCGGACAAATTTAAAATAGAAGTCCAGGGCCGGTGAGCTGTTTGTCATACAAGCCTGATGGCCTGAGTTTGAGCCCAGAATCTATGTAAAGGTGGAAGGAGAGAATTAATGCCACAAAGTTGTCTGTGTGTCTCCATGGAGACAAATGTATGTCTTCACATGCATACCATGGCATGCACACACAACATATGCAATACATTTTAAAACTAAAATGATGATGATGATGATGATGATGATGATGATATGGAAGGCTAGCAGCAAAAAAAAGGGGTGTGGTTTCAGGACAGCCTCTGACAATTGAAAGAATGTCCTCTGGCTGGGTGATACAAGCCATCTGACAAATCAGTGTTCAGTTTCTTTGATTTTTATCTTTGGAAACCCAGAGCTGGAGCCAGTTGAGACACAAGGGAGTCTGCGTAGCACAAGAGGGAGACAACGTAGGAAATGTTGGCTCCACCGTGATTAGCTCACTGGTCTTTATTTTTCAACTTGTGTTTATTTTCTGATAAAGTTACCGTGACCCCGGGTGTCACTCAATACAGTTCAAAGACTCAGAAACGACCAGGTGTTTCAAATAACTCTCAAGCTCTGATAATAATAGATTAGGGATTTCTTAATGTGGGCAATGTTAAAACATATTGATATTGTCTCTTACTGCCGCCCCCAGGTGGAGGGGCGGAGGAGATTCCAGAGGAGTTTTCAAAGCACCCCCCACCACGCCCCACCCCCTGGGTTGTAACGTGCCCAGACTGAGTTCCCAAAACAGCAGTCAAGTTTTTAAACAAATATACTTTATTCGCTTGTGTCAATTCCCACGTGATGCACATTCTTAGGCTTTTCTCAGTTTATTTGATATCGTTACCCTAATATCTAAGCCGTTACATTTTTAGCATTCACCACGTTTAACTCTCATAAAAGTTAGAGCTCCATGCCCCCGTGTGGCTACTTGGGAGTACTGCATCCTTAAAAATCTGGGAAGTCAGCAAAATTGAGCTCAGAGCATATTTAAGATATACAGTAAGTTTAGTGGCGTGTCTTCCCTGGACCGGCCCGACCACATCTGGGTGTTCTCAGCAGAAACTCCAATAACAGCCTCCCTTTGTGCCTGCCCCATGTCCCAAAGGGCCGGCTGGGCCCTATAGTTGTGAGGTCTGCGCACAGCATTCTGGGTGATCAAGTAACCTTCCCCCTCTAGGTCTTACTTTGCTTATCTGTAAGGGAGCACTAAAGACACGCCAGCTCCAGCAGTCCATGATCCAGATAATATGAGTCCAGAACCAAGGGACGAGGCAGCTTTATCCTGTTGTGCAAATATGCAATTTGCACCGACACTTGGAAAATTCAGCTGGAAATGGGCAAAGAGGGGTGCAGAGATCAGCTTTTCACTCCTGTACGTGTACCCTCAATGGGTGGCTTGGCCTTCCACCAAGGCCAGATGTGAATTGTGAAGCAGAAATGTTCATTTTTTTTTTAATCTCCCGTTCATAATACCTCACACAGTGTGTAGCTCTATAGATGAAGAAGGGTGGTGGGAAGAGTGGCGTCATGATTAGTGTGAACTGTCCACTTGACACACTGTGAATCAGCTGAGAAGTCTCCCAATGAGCCAACATCTGAGTTGAATTAATCTACAGGCATATGGGGTGGGGGGCGTGCCGTGATTATGGTGATCATTAGTTGAAGACCCGACCTAAAAGTGGCTAGCATCATTCTGGACCGTATAAAAGAGAAGAACGTGATCTGAGTATAAAGTCATGCCCTATGTCTCTGCTCTTGACTGGATCTGACCAGCTGCTTCCATCCCCTGCCACCTCGATGGCCCCACAGTGACAGGCTATGACCTGGAATTGGGAGCAAAAACAAGCCCGTTTTCCCCTAAGTTGCTTCTGTCGGGGTATTTTATCACAGCAACAGGGAACAAAACCAGCACGGACGGGTGCCCCGGCAGTGGATGCGTGCTTGAGAAAGATGGATAGCTCTGAGCGGAGGATTGAGTTCTGCCCTTCGTGGTGGAAAGGCAGACTCCTTAGCTAGCTTCAGATACCCTCACAGCAGAGAGGGAAGAACCCCTACAGAAACAGACAACGGCTCTCTATGTCTAGCGGGTTTGTAGATACACAAGGACAGTGGACGGTGGCCGTCTCTCCTGGCTGAATGATGCAGCCATCGGAAGGAGGACTCATCCCCTTCCAGCTGTCCTCTCCTGCAAAGAGCCCTGTTTTCGGACTCCATGTCCTGGGCCCCACTCCGCTGGGCCGTGCTCCCCCTGGATACTGCACTGTCCGAGATGGGGAAAGGCAGTCAGTGGTGTGTGAACTGCTGTCTGAGTGTGAGAATTTGTGCAGCGTGTGAACGTTGGCCCTTGGGGAAACAATAAAATCACGTCAGACTTATAGAGCCGCCCTTCTAGAAAGCACCAGCAAATGCCCACATTTCCACACATGAAAGCTGCTAATTAAAGGGCCATAACACGTGTTTTCACACACTTGGATGTCTAAGAACAGCTGGCCCCAAAGAGTAGCAGGGCCTCTCTCCTCTGTCCCTTCCACTCCCCCCCCCCCCCCGTGACCCTGGGTCATTCTGGATCAACCTGAGGACCATAAAATCGTCAACACCTACCCCTTACACCTCCCGTGGTCGTTCTCTGTACCCCGTGCCCAGAGACTGCCCTTTAGTGCCATCTCTCCAGGCATGTGCCCTGCCAGCCTCCCAGATGGAGCTGAGCCTGTGTCTTTCCCCAGGGCACGAGGAGAAGGCCGAGAACGAGGTGAGAGCCGGGACTTGCTGCGCGACATGCAAGGAGTTCTCGCAGATGAAGCAGACGGTGCTGCAGCTGAAGCAGAAGGTACACTGAGCTCGGCAAGGGGCAGGGTGAAGCCCGTGTCGGGGTTTGGGGAACGGCGGCTGGGTGAGAAAACAGACCGCCCTAGCTGAGCGTTGCGGTTAGCGTCAACCAGACGGGAACTCTGGATGTTTCCCCGCTCCAGAGCTGCTGACCACCTAAACAGCAACGGAACACAAGGCGAAGACCCAAGGAGGGCGTCACTCTATCAGCCCTGGCAATGGGTACATACAAAGTCGTTGAAAAAAGTCATTAATACTTCTTGTAGAAGGTATCGATTCGCAGCCCCGGGCAGACCTAGGCAATGCTATTTTTATCTGTTTTATTCATTGAAAACGTTCTCTCTCAAATGTTCTCTCTCTCTTCTGTAAACCGGCGGCATCCTGTGGTGCCTTCATTTTCTCATGTAACTTTATGGTCTGGGGGAAAATACGCATCTAGGAAATCAGTCCTCTGAGTGCCTCATGGCACCAGGAGTGAGGACCAACTCCCTTTCTGCAAGACTCCGCCTGATGAGTTGGGCACCAGGGCGCTGCTAATGTCATCCAGCTGTGAGGAAGGGCTTCGTGATAGGTCTTAGCAGCCTGGATTCTTGGGTGACTCTCCTGGCTTGGTGTTTATTACACCTGAGGTCAGTACACTTGCTGGCTTGTCAGCCACTCTGAAACGGTTCTTCAGCTGCCCAAACATAAACGTACGGCTTTGTTTGTTTAATCACTTCCACTCAAGGCTCTCAGGAGATCAAAGTGGTGTGTATAATCTGTTTAACTTTGGCAGCCAGTTATTCTAAAGGGTAAAAGGGTAAACATGAGACACCCTCTCTTCCATGGCCAGAAGAGTGGCAGCCGCCCTGATGAGAAACCCAGCTACCAGCTAAACCATGGGAACAAGGGGCGGAGAAGGGAAGCGGCGTTTCCGACCTCTGATGCTCGGGCTGGTGAGGTCATGACCGACGTTAGCAGAGGCTTGTATGGACCTGGATGTCACACAGTTGTATAGTCCAGAGGAAATCATGGACCTCATCATAAATAGCTCGTGATATACTAGGCAGAAAACCTTGTCTGTGTGCCAGGATAAACAAAGGGAAAGAAGAGGATATCTCCCATACAGCTATCCCCAGGTGACACTTGAATTGATGTTAACATCTTTAGAGGAAACCCAGAAGGTTTGTAGAAGCATTAAGCTTGCCTTTCATAGGGTAGAGCATCAGGCGTGGGGGAGATAGCTGATTATGGTCTCAAGGCACAAAGCTGGCTTCACTTTCCTTCCCTGGAAATAACCTATGACCTTACACAAATTCTTTCCAGCTGGAGTGGTTTTAAGGCACTTGATATTGTGAGCTCTTCTAAAACTAGTTGCTGGGTTTGGCCTTCTTTTAATTGCCCACCAGTATTGTATGTTCCAAGCAAGCCGACTTATGTTGAGATACATAAGACCCTCAGAGGTTCGCTGACATTTTCGAGGAATCATGAGGTTATCTCAGCCTTTATTATCTCTCTCTCTCGTGTGGTTGGGTTGAGCAAGTATTGCTCTACCTTATGCCTCACTGTCCCCATGCACACGGCCTGAGCCCTGGCATTCGTGGGGCATTAGGAGGTGTGATGCTTTATGTGTATGTATGGGGGGTATGTGCCTGCATATGTGTGCAGGGTTGTTTACCCATCTGCGTGCCTGTGTGGAGGCCAGAAGTCAATATTAGTTGTCTTCCTGCATCATTCTCCAACTTGTATTTTGAGACGGAGTCTGCCACCAAACCTGGAGCTTGCCATTTCAGCTAGACAGACTGGCTAGCAAGTCCCCAGAATTTGTCTGTCTCCATCACCCCAGAGCAGGCCTATAGATGTGTGCTTCTCTGCCCTGCGTTTATATGAGTGCTGAGGATCCTGGCTCAGGGCAAACACTTGCCCACTGAACATTTTTCCTATTTATTTTTCCTTTCCTTTATTTTCCTCCCTTTCCTTTTCTTTCCTCTTCCTTTTCCTTTCTTTTCTTCTTACCTTCCCTTTCCTTTCTTCTTCCTCCCTTCTTCTTTCAAACAGGTCTCATCTGTAACCAACCTAGCCTTGAACGAACTATATGCAGTAGAGGATGACCTTGAACTTTTGATCTTCCTGCCTCTGCCTCCCAAGTGCTGGAGTCACAGGCACGTGTCACCATACCTAGCTGAGGGTCAATTCTCTTTAAAAGATACCTCCTGGAATATATGGCTTCCTGTCACATGGGAAGCAGTTTTATATGCAAAATCTCACTTAACTGTCACCATAGCCTTGTAAGAAGCATGCTAGCATTCCCAGAGATGCAGTGCATACTCAAGAGGTCAGACCTAAAAATCCACACCTTCTCCTGAAGCCTGGTGTAGATCCTGATTTGCTTTGAACATCCACTTTCTACTGCTGATACCATCTGTTCTTTTCATAGAACACGAGGCATTTATTTGCCCGGATAAACATTGTCCAAGAAGTGGTTATATGAGGAGGGAGGTGCTGGAGAGCAGCCAACCCCACAGTATGAGGTGATGTGCACACATGTTGAACTACACCATGAGCATACAGGAGTCAGAATTCTAGCCACAGAAAATGCTCCAGGCCAAATCCTTTGGCTCTTCAGGGATCAGTCGGAAAAGAAAGTCACATAAAACAGCAACATGCAGGATACAAGGAACCTACAAGACCTGTTGTCATTTTTTAACTAGCAAGGTTAACCGCAGTGTTCGAGTGAGGATCGCTGGGTGGTGGATTGCTTGGTTAATGTAGACATTATGTACAAGTCAGGACAGTGGGTACATTTTAAGGAAAGGAGGAGAGTGGTGGAGGGCACTTAGGGAAATCTGGGAGGGCCGGGAGGTCTACATGTTGGCTTGAGTGTCTAAGCTACATATATTGGTTCTATGAAACGTCCTGTTTGGGGCTTATACCATCCCTTCAGACCTCACTGCCTCTTCCCCTTCATTTTTTTTAAGTCAGAAAAGGAATGTGATTTGATAAAAAAGGGAGCTTGGGGACAGGTAAAGTGCCTGCCTTTCAGCTTTGGTTGATGGAGGAAGAATGAGAGTCCACAGCCTATTGGTTTCTCTTTAGAAATTTACTCCCATGGCTAAATGAACTGCAAGAGTGAGGCAGCTATTGAGGACCAGGGGAGAAAGACCCCAAAGGGAGAGGCATAGCACATCAGCAAGCCTGCTCAGCAGCTCAGAACCCACCAGTGTGCTCCGCCTCCAAAGGCCACTGTACAGGGAGCAGGGGACCTCTCCCCTCCTATACCGGCCATCCACAGTTAGCCCATAGTGAGCAGTCATGGTGATGTCACAGGGATTTGATGAGCACCCACTCTGCCCTACAGTAGCCTGAGGGACAAGGAAATACAAACAGTATGGAGTAAGGTCCTGCCTCATCAAGTAAGTTGACATTTTACCAAGAAACCAAGCCAACAGCGTGACTTAATGGTGAATGGAGGGAATGGGAAGGTAGCCAAGCTTGAGAAGTCGGAGGTCAGTGAGGTGCACACCGTGAGCAGGCTCACTGTGATCCTGGTTCACTTTCCTACCAAGCACATATGCAGGGTCTGAACTGACTTCCCCAGCTGTATCACACCACACACACACACACACACACACACACACACACACACACATACACACACACACACAAATACATGTCATAACATTTTTAAAGAAAAATGTACATATGCACCATGAAATTGTATTGAACCACAAAGAATAATAATTTCCAGAAAGGTAGGTGCACTGGAGATTAGCATGTTTAGTGAAATGAGCTAGACGCAGACAAAAAAAAAAAAATGCATACTTTCTTGGGTAAGTTTCTATTGCTGTAATTAAGACCATGATTAAGCAACTTGTGGTGGAAAGGGTTTATTTGATTATATATAACTCAACCAAGGTCCAGCATGAGGGGAAGTCAGGATGGGAACCTTGAGGCAGGAACTGAAATGGGCCATGGAGGAACACTGCTTACCACCTCGTTCATGATGGCTTGATCATCCTGCTTTCTTACACAACCAAAGACCGCCTGCCCAGAGGTGGTACTGTCAACAGCGGGCTGGGCCCTTCCACAGCAATTATTAATCAAGAGAATGCCCCACAGGCTCGCCTACAGGACACTCTTCTGTGGGCATTTTCTCAGCTGATCCTTCTTCCAAAATGACCAAAGATGGTCAAGTTGACAAAGAACAAACCAGAACGAATGTTTTCTCACATTTGCAGAATAGATACATAAAGATATTCATGCATGTATGTGTGTGTGTACATGCATATGTCCGTGTGTGTGTGTGTGTGTGTGTGTGTGTGTGTGTGTGTGTATGTCATGAAAGCAGAAGATAGACTTGAGGAAAGAAGATGAGGAGGGAGGAAAAAGAGGCTCATTGGGGTGAATATAGTACCAAGTACATGATGGACTTGGAAGAAGTAGCCTTTATGAAAGGAGATAACACATGTTAAATACAATGTCAAATTAATTATTGTCCTTAAGAGATTTACAGCAGTGCCTGCTGCCTGGACCAAGCTCTGTATCTACCAAGCATGTGCTGAACATTAACAGTGAGTGTTCTGTATTTGGTATCCTGCCAGCTCATGCCAACAGCTCTCCAGAGCAGATGCTTTTAATACAAGAAAAATCTGATCTGAGAGAATAGCAATGGGAAGTCCATTGATTGACACTCAGGAAAAGTTCAGGCCCTGCTCATGTTGCTAAAGTCTTGCCTCCAAACACTCCCACCCCACAAGCCCACTCCCTGATATTTCTGGAAGAATGTAGCTGGTCACACCCACTACCTTTCCTTTCCACTTGCCTTAGGAGTATGGAGCCTACAGGCTGCAGGAACATCAGGGTTGTATTCACTGGCTTATCTTATAAATTGAATACAACTTGAACATTGGAGTTAACCAAAAGGAAAAAGCAATAGGAGCCGTGTTAAAAACCCAGCCACAGTAGATCTCCATCCCAAGCCAGACGACAGGATTTTGAATATGAAGATGTGATCATCTAGTGACACACTTCTCATCTTGTAGATGTGGAGGTGAAAACGTGGAAGGCTAGAAGACTTTCCTGAAGTTGCCTCCTGGGCACAGAGCCAGGAGTGAGTGCAGGCAGAACCTTCCCACTGGGCAGTAACCATGGCTGGACACTGGATCCAGGCATCCATTTCTGTGTGCAACAGCCCTCATGGGCAAATGTTACCAACTTGTTTATAACAAGAACGAGACCCTACAGATGGACCTTGGCAAGGCTGACATTTCAGTGTTGTTCTTTCCAAAGCCAGAGCCCCATACTAGGATTCATATCTCCATGTCTCAACTGGTGGCTAGTGGCTGGATTAGGCTTCAGTGGCCAGAGTTGAGCCATGGTCCCAGAGAGTGTGTTTACTTTTGCTACTCCATCATGTTCTTATATTCATTTTCAAGTTGTCGCTGTCTACAAGACACCAGCAGCATTTTATTGAACACCAGATCACAGCAGTGTCCTCTTATGACTCTAAACCGTGAGACCTGATCTGAAATAATGCAATGCTGATTCTCAGGGCACACAAGGCTGCCTCCACCCATCTCCTCTATCCGTGAGGAAATTAACTTTGCGGCTGTTCAGTTACCATCAAAGCTTTCCCAGATTCACAGGTTGCCCGACTTCAATGAATGCTAATGTCACTGGTCCATGCAGTCTTCTGGCTTCCTCTAGGATGAGAAATCCAAGAGAGCAAGCAGAGTGGTATCCTCAGAACCAAGAGTCTCAGAAGCTACCCACTGCCACCTTTACCACACTCTATTCATTAGACACAGATAACCAATCCAACAATGAAAACAAGCCTCACCTTTGAAAGGAGTGTTGAAGAATTTGTGGACATTTTTTTAAGACACCAAAGTTTCTACTGCCCATTTGTTCTGAAGGTTGGCCCTGAATGTATATATGAACGGCCACCCACAGTCTTGTTCCTGGTTCCCAAGACTGAACATTCTTTAAGGGAAGGGGCCATGTCTTGTTCACCACTGGATCCATAAAACAAAGCACAGGTCCTGGCATACAATATATAATAAATATATGTTTGAGTTATAGAGTGGTTACTTGAAAGGACTGGAAGTACAAAGCCTGTTTGTTTTATTAGTCGTGGTAACTGTGTTCTGTGGATCCCGGCAACTCTGAATGAATGTCCTGGCTTCAACCACTGGCTCACTGAGGAAACTCATGCAAGAAGTTTGCGCTGGACAGCTCCTCAGCTAGACAGGATCTCTCTGGCCCCTTTACACTCTGACTAGCTACAGTTAAGAGCAAAATCATGAGAAGATCTTGCAGCCTCTACCAAAGACTCTAACATAGACTTCCTCACGGAACAATGCTGACTTTCTGCTCCCTTGTCTTTATAGATTGCTCAGCTTCCCAACAGTGCTGCTGAACTGGGCAAGTACGTCAATGGTGACAAGGTGCTGGCCTCAAACACCTACCTTCCAGGACCTCCTGGCCTGCCTGGGGGGCAGGGCCCTCCTGGTGAGTATGAAGAAGAGCTTAGGAAGCTGGTGGCATTTCTGCCCTCTCCACGCACTAGAACATAGGCTGACTGGGAGCTCACATCCACCAAGGTTGGACAGGGCTCTCTAGCTTCCTCCAGTTCTCACAGGTGAAAGCTGATGTGCAGGGCAACGTGCCTGTACAATGACGGGCCATGGGGGGAGTTGGGTTCTGTAGCTTGGGAAGAAAGGGTTAATTTTCTGAGATCAGATAAGACTCCTAATGGTCGTTTTAAAACCCAATAATGGTACCACACACCTGGAATTCCAGTACTCAGGAGTCAGTGGAAGAAGGATCATGAGTTAGAATCTAGCCTGGGCTACATGGTGAGATCCTATCTCAAAAACAATTAAGTTAATGAGAAGCCCCATGAAGACTAATATTTAAGTTCTTCCATGGTGATGTATTGTGTCCCCCCAATATACCGTGTCTCCCAATAAAATTTACCTGAGGATCAGAGGAAAGAGCCAGCCATTATATTAACATAGAAGTAAGGCAATTGTAGCACATGCCTTTAATCCTATCAATTGGGAGGCAGGGATCTGTCTGGATCTCTGTGAGTTCAAGGCCACACTGGGAACAGAGCCAGGCATGGTGATACATGCCTTTAATCCCAGCACTAACCATAAAGGTCTGGAGGTCTGTACAGATAGACAGGAAGTGACAGAGCTGGGCAGGAAAAGGAAGTGATGTAGCTGGGCTGAGAGAGCAAATGAGAGAACAGAACAGAAAGACATATAGGTGTGGGTAGACAGGAAGTAGCTCTCTTTTTGAAGCAGTGGAGTTGGTGAGGTGAGGTTAGCTGTGGCTTTTCCTATTCCTCTGATCTCTCTCAGGCTTTAACCCCAATTTCTGGCTCCAAGTTTTTTATTAATAAGACCTCTTAGCAATTTGTCTACATTCTTCCTAGGAAAACCTTAACATACAGAGTAGTAGACTCATAAAATCATTCAGTTCTGCAGAATCGCAGCCAGCCCCATAGCCACCTTCCCCAGTTCTTTGTCTATCGTCTTTTCTTGCTTAACGCATTTTCAGCGATATTCTTATTCCTATTATATTGTAAGTGGGATTTGTTGAAGTATAGATCACACAATGAGGGTAGGCCATTCCAGGGTTGAGTTTTAGCTTTTGACAAGTATGGACTCCCCTGTTACTTATGCTCACAGTACAGGAAGTTTCCACCATCCACAAAGTTCCCTTGAGGCATGGACCACCATGTGCTCTCCCCATACCAGCTCTAGGTATCCGCCAACTGCTTTCCTTTACCAAGGCTTTTCCATTCCCAGAATGCATTTCAGAGGACCCGCACAGCTTATGTTCGGTATGGCTGTCATTTTTCTATCAGCACATGGTTTCAGAGATTCTCCCTTACTTTGTTAGAAGATACAGTGAGAACTTATTTCTTCAAGTTCTGAGGTGTTTTACACTTTATTGTGAACCTCTCCATATACATCAGTAGAGTCTTTCACACTAGTACAAGAAATGACATTAGTATTAGTAGGTGACACTAAACCATGGCTGTCTGGTGCCTCATTATCAACTCAGCAGTGTGCTGGTTCTGACCTCTGATGTCCTAGCTGGGAAGAGGTGACATATAATGACTACAGAGGAAAGTAAGCCAGACTTACCCTGGAATCCTAGCACTGAGGAGGCTGAGGCAGGAAATGGCTGTGCATTTGAGACCAGCCTGGGCTGAAGAGTGAGATTCCATCTCAAAAAAAAAGCAAACAAACAACAACAAACAAAATCAAGAAAGGGATTTACCTTCCTCCCAGTCAGAACACAGGAGCTTTTTATTATCAAGGCTGCAGGGAGATAGCATGTAGCTTGCAGTCGGAGGTGGGCATTGGAGAATTGAACTGGTCAAGGGAGATTGGTAAACTATCAGAACGGGAAGGGCATGGCCAAGCTATCAAAAGATCAGTAGGAAGGCTAAGTTTTCTTTCTGAAGGATTCTGTGCTTTCTGTCTAGTATGTCTTAACCCCTTGGTTTCCACTACTGGCCTGAGGCTCAGTCTCCACAGAAGAACTGCTCCAGGACTTTGGTGTAACCTCCTGTTCATCCCCTGATGTGAATATTCTCAGTGTCATGGCAGAAGTTCCTCACACTGGCATCCTCTTGCTTCTTCTAAGTAGGCAGGGGCTCTCTCCTTACAAGTGATTCCTATCACCGTGGCCCCAGGCTCTCTCTAAGTGGCTGCTCTTGCTTTGTATCTCCAGGCCAGTCCACATGTCACCTGAACAGGGACAGCTGCAGGAGCAGGGAAGCCATTGGCTGTTGGTTTTCTTAACAAATGACTCACTAGTTTGCCATCCGGTTCTGCCATCCGGTTTCAAACCTGGTTTGAGCTGTCCAGGGTCCTTGAGGGAAACAGTCTGATTGCAGATGAATGAGCTTTTGCGATGCATGAGGAATTTCTCGTTTATTTCTAGACTTGGGTTGCTTTCCACTGAGATGTATTGGGGTGGCTAGAGAGCTCATGAGGTTCTCTCTCCTTTAAGCAGAAGTTCCACCCAGAGCCCATCATGAATTGCATACTGAACAGCAGCACAGGAGACTGCACTGGAATAGCCCTTTGGCTTTGGAGATGAGAGGCCAGCTCTCTGGCCTCCACTGTTATGACAAGGTCTTTCCGTGGGCATATCAAGGTCCTACATTTTAAAGGCACTTGACATACAGTGACCTCTGACATTTACTGGTTAGGTAACTGCAGGTGACATCTCGCTGCTAGCTTATGGACATAGAATAATTACGGGAGCGATCTGTCCCCCTTCCCAAATAAACGATTTCAGTATGTACCTGGAATGGGTATTGAGAGTTGGGACATGGGATATGTTTGAATGAAGCATTGGCTGCCTTCATCTTTGCCGTAATTATTCTGTGAACTGGAAATGACTTCTCCAAATATGAAAAGCCTAAGGTCTTTGGCTGTTTGTTTTGTTTTTCCAGAGGGTGGAATTATCCTGTGCTGTCACTGTGTTCTGTTAGTAGGAGCTGGTGATGAGTGAAAAGACAACTCAAAGGAGACAATATGGCATAGTAATCAACCCGGTCTCTCCAGTGTGGTCATTTCGCAGGAAAGCTTTATAAGCAGTCCACTGACATGACCTCTGTGTGAGAGGGTGGATGAATAAGACACAGCCTGCACTCACTCGGGGCTCCTTATCTGAACTGAAGTCAAGTTTCATGTTCTGCCATATGCAGGATAATGACCCTGACCTTCCACCAAATGGAAAAAGTTAGCTCAAAATGGATTAAAGACCTAAACGTTAAAACACTGAAGTCATACAAAGTGGCATGCTATGGATTTTGCAGTGATTTCTTAGACACGTTCCCAAAAGCAGAAACAGACGCAAGTGAAATCATCCCAAACTTTAAAACTTACCTGTATAAATGAAACCCTGAAAGGAGTCAAAAGGCAGCCCATAGGAAGAGAGAAAATGTTTGGATACCATTTACCTAATGAAGGATTAGCATCTAGAATATGTTTTAAATGAGATAATTTAACAGCAATAAAAGTCAAGCTGGTTCAAAAAAGGGCAAAGAACTTGAATAGTTATTTCATCAAAGAACATATACAAACAGCTAACAAAGCTGTGAAAATCACTCAATCTTATGAGTCATTAGAAGAGTGCAAACCCAAACCACAGTAAGATAGTCCCCTTATACCCACTATCATAAGAAAAGGGGAAGGAAAGGTTAAGCATCAGTCAGTGTTAGGGTTTGGCTATACAGTGTTCCTTCTCAAGGTCCTTGTATGCTGGGGCTTGGTCCCTTGCTGGTGGTATTGTTTGGGGAGATGAGATCTGGAACAAGTCCCTGGGGCCATGTCCTAAGATGTGTCTTGTCCCCAACACTCCCCTGCTGCTTCTCTGCTTCCCGTGCTGTGAGCTCTGCCATGCTCTTCACCATGGTGGACTGATAAGTCTGAAACCATGAGCCAAATTAAATCTCACTCTTGGGTTTTTCAGTTGGCATTTGATCACAGCAACAATAAAGCTAACTAATATAGGAAAACTGTAAGATGTAAAATGATGTAGCCTCTGTGGGAAAGTAATGAGGTTATTTTTAAATGCTTTCACTAGAACTTTCATATGGGCCAGCAATCCCACTTCTGTGTATTTTTTTCATGTCCATATACATCTAAGAGGATAGAAAGCAAGGTCTTGAAGCATTCAAGTACCCATGTCTATAACACTACTCTTCAGTGACCAATAGAGGCTACCCATTTACTATTTGGTGGGTGTCTAAAATAGTAAAATTGGTATATACATCAACACAAATGAACTCTTAGTCTACCTTTTGACATGATACATGAACTAGTCTTGGAGACATTATGTATTTAACCTAATTAGGAGACATTTCACCCTGTTTTTAAATTGAGCAGATACAGCCAGGCATGCTAGAGCACACCTGGAATCCCAGCACTTGAGAAGATTTCTGTGTCCATAGAGATTTATTCTTACATGATGAAATCATTCTACAGCTCTGTGATACCGCTTTGTGAGGGCACCCAACCCTTGTAAATTACACATTTACAAATTTTTAAAATGAAAATCTTTGTATTATGTATTTTATGCACATTTTTTTTAAAAAAAAGTATTCTAACTGCCTGTACCCTTTTCACATATCTTCCCTGGATAATGTTCAGGGTCAGAAGTGAGCGCTGTAGTCTGTATCAAGGTTCAGCCCCTCAACTTGAACATTTGTGGCCCTCAGGAGGAAAGGCATTTCCTGGAGACCCCATGATGGGACAGACATTCTGTGTCCTGCATGCATGTCTTAAATGGCAGTGCAGGGGTACCTCTTCCTTTATTGCAAGCTCCACCCAGGCCAACATGGCTGTTTCTAACTATGTTCATAAAAGGTGGAGAAACCCCACAGGTTTCTGAATCAACCTCCATGACAAAATTATATGAGAAAGTTGGGTAACAACTATCATCACCCAGGTACAAAAATGGTCATGTAGCTAGTTCTTAAATACTTCCAATGCTCTGTTGATACAAGCCTGCAAAGAGAACTTTAGAAAACAAATTTATGTCTACAGAGATCCAACAGGTGACCTTGGTGGGTGAATATGACTGTGTGAGGAACTGGAAAAGAGCACAGACTTCAACCAAAGGGACACCTACTGATGCCCCAGACCATTGTGCCAGCAGCAGAACTGGGGTCTAATTGTACTTCTTCCTGTTTTCAAACTATGGCCAGAAACCCAGATATTTGCAGGAAGTCTCCCAATCTTTAAGCAGTGGGAATATTCACAGGCAACAGTTGCTTATAAGACATACACCTGTATGTGATGAGTTCATGATGAAGTGGGCACTTAATTTTCACAGGGAAAGGAACTGAGATGATTTGGGGTACAATGTCTGTTGTGTTTCAGTGGGGCAGCAGCAAAGCAGAAGAGCAGAAGCCTGGGTGATACAGCATCTCAGGGTCTGTTGGGGAAGGACAGGAGTCACGGGGTGGAGAGGGCCTTGGAGAAAGATGAGAATGAGCAAGTAGGGGATTGAACTTGGAGCAAAGGAAGCCGCTGAACAGTTTTCTCCCATCAAATCCGGCTCCTTACAGAGCATTAGGAGGATTTAAGAACTAGCCATATGATGTAATCTGGTGTCTGGTTTATATGTGAGTCATCTTGGGGTCTGATTCTGCTGACTGTTATATCACTTGATAGCTGCTTGTTTATTTTGCTCTTGCTTATTTATGTGTGTCAGTTTTGTTTTTTGATTTTTTTTTATTGTATGCTGTGCGTCATTTGTAGAGAAATGCTAAAGCCTGGGGAACTTGCCAATAACTCTCTGAGACAGGCCTCCTCTGTTGTCAGATCTGTAACAGGAAGCTGAGTCATGCTAATCCCGAGTTAAGTTACTTTGGGGCTCTGTTGTCACTATATTTTCCGTCAGTGCTTTTCAGTCTTCAAATGTTCAAATCCATTCTGTTCCTTTGTGCTGTGGGTATCCGTGGGTTCTCTCTGTATTCCACTCTCAGCTTTCTGAGGTCCCTCCACAATTCTCTTGTCCATTCTTCAGTCATAGATTCCTTTTACTTTATATTTCATACTGGAGTTGTGGGAGCAGACACAGTTTCGCTTTTCTTTGTCCCACGCTTCTGGGCCTTAAATACGTAAGACCTCTTCTTCACGCTCATCCCCAGACAATCATGGACAGAACAGTATCTTCTACCATCCCCTCACAAGCAGTGAGTATGTATAATGCCTACAGGAGAGAGCATTTGCTCCCCATCTTGGGGGATTGACTTTTTTTATGGTAATGATTAAAGGTAGGAGAGTTCTACAGTTAAGAAATATTCCACTGAGCTTCTTAGCATGGGTGAGGAGTGAACACTATCAGTAGGAGGCAGAGGGCACAAGTTATGAGGCAAGAGTTGAGGCAAGTGTGAGAAAGGTGGAGGCCCAGCAGACTTTTAGTGCTTACTGTCTGTGAGGCACTATGCCATGTAATGTGTGTGCGTGTCTAAAATTTTATCTAATACAGCCATTTTATATTGGAGAATTTGATTCCCATTTGGAAATAAGAGACTAAGGTTCAGAGATCTCAAACAAGTTGTCAAGGATTCAAATGTAGCTCTCTTTGATGGTAAAATTTTTTTCTCTGCTGGTGTGTGGGTGTGTGCAAGCATACACACATAGAGGCTAGGGGGTCAAATTTTTGTTGTCTTCTCTACCACTGTCTTCATCTTGCATTTCAGATAGACTGGCTGACCAGCAAGTCCCTAGGATTTTCCTGTATCGACCCACTCATCCTCTGGGAGGGACTGTGTTTATAGATATTCACCACCACACCAAACTTCTGCATGGGTACTACAGATCTGAGCTTGGATCTTCATTTTTATGCAGAAAGTACTTTATCCACTGAGCCATCTCCCTAGCCCCACAACCTTGCACTCTTAAGTACTCTGTAGATATATCACATACTTCTGGGATCCAGGGATAGAGAGACACAGGGCAGGACAGGCTTAAAGAGGTAAAGCAAGCAGACCTGTGACTGAGCAGGGAGGCTGTGGAACTAAGGATCTACTGTGGGAATATTTTCAAGTTTCTGACTTGAGCAAAGAGGTGACAGATGGTCCAAAAAAAGAGAGAAAGGTGAAGTCACTTTTAAGTGTGTTGAGTTTAAATTTCCATGAACACAGTATAAATGCCACAAGGCAAAGAGCAGAGTTAAAAGGTAAATGTCTACAGTGACTCCTAGATTCTGTATTTGTCTTTATTATGGGGTAAGTACTAATAAGATGTTCTTGATTACAGGCTCACCAGGACCCAAGGGAAGTCCTGGATTCCCTGGTATGCCAGGCCCTCCTGGACAGCCTGGCCCACGGGGCTCAATGGGACCTATGGGACCATCCCCTGACCTGTCTCACATTAAGCAAGGCCGGAGGGGCCCTGTGGTCAGTATCTCCTCTGAGACCCATGTAATACTGGGGGAAAATGGCTCTTGCTCTGTACATTTATTGTAGTTAAATCAGATGCTTGTGTCTTCTAGGGCCCACCAGGAGCACCAGGACGACATGGCTCCAAGGTAAGTCTTGTAAATGGTCCTTAACAGCTACAGGTCTGTTTCTAGCCACTTGGACATCCAACGAAGCTTGGCAAACCCCATTTACCATTGAAAGTTGAGACACAGCTATACAAGTTGAGAATGGCAAACCCCACAGCCTATAATGCTTGAAAATCCTAAACTTTTAGAGCATATGCAACATTGTGGGGGAAATGAATTTCAAGCTGGGTGTTGTGTTATAAGTCTTGTGTAGTTAGGATTACACTCATATTCCTCACTAATCTATGGTTTTTTTTAGAATGGCCTCACTTATTTAAGTGGAGAACCGCACACAGCTCCATTCTACACAAGTGCTGGCTTCTCTCTAGAGCTGACAGCTGCTTGCTTCAGCCAGCAGCTGGTGTGCCTGCCTTACTTTCGAAAGGCTGGTGTTTCGCACACTTCCTAGAAAGACAAGATTCCTCATCAGATCTGGTTTGAAAATACATAGCCTTGTGAGAACTCAGCAGCCAAGCCACTCAACCCAAGCTTGCCAGTTCCAATAAGAGGCCCCCCTGAATCCAGCTCCAACTCTGAATTTATTCCCTGCAGGAGGACGGTGGTGGGTGGTGGGTGTCTAACCAGAGACAGTGGTGCTAACATCTGCATGCTCCAGAATGCTAACCCTCACCTTTCGGTTTTAGGGGGAGAGAGGAGCACCTGGGCCCCCAGGGTCTCCGGTAAGTTATACTGTCTGTCCTGCTTACCCAGTGGGGATGCTCTCAAGAGTGTGGCACTCATAAAATGGTAGAGCTTGGGCTGGTGAGATGACTCAGTGGGTAAAAGCACTTGTCATCAAGCCTGATGACTTGAGTTCAATTCCCAGGACCCGAATGTTGGAAAGAGAGAACTGACTCCTGCAAATCATCCTCTAACCTCCATAGGAGTGATATACATATCCCCACACAAGTAAATAACATTTAAACATTTTTTTTAAAAAAATATATGTGTGGGTGGAAGTTTCTGTGCCAACAGCCAGCTCCCAAATAACCACACAGAAACTAATTATTAATTATAAATGCTCAGCCCATAGCTTAGGCTTGTTACTAACTAGCTCATACAACTTAAATTAACCCATTTCTATTAATTTACATGCTGCTACATGGCTCATGGCTTGTTGCCTCATTTTCTGCATGACCTTCTCCCTCTGTGTTTGCCTAGTGACTCCACCCATCTTCTTCCCAGTGTTTTCTCAGTCTTGCTCTCCTGTCTAACCTCTTTCTGTCTATCTATTGACCACTTGGCTCTTTATTAAACCAATGAGAGCAGCACATCTTCACAGTGTACAAAGGATTATTCCACAGCATGTATGAGTGGGTCTTAGTAGCAGAAGACACATTCAGCTGTCACTCAGGCAGTCGAGTCTGTGGTTAGGAAGAAAGCTGTAGATGCCTTAAGCAGCTCATTTGAATTTTTAAAATCTGTTTCCTGTTGTTACTTTTTCTTTGATCTTGACAATCTTTATGTGAAATATGTCCTCTGAAGCCCACTATGCCAGGAATCCCTTTTCAAATGTATCATAAGATGTTTGAAAGAAAGGCTGAAGATGCAGCTTAGTCAGTATAGTGCATGGCATGCAGGCAAGGGGACCTGAATTCAATCCCTGGAGTCCATGTGAAAAAGCCAATATTATTAGAGTACACTTGTAATCCTAGTTCTGAGGAGGCATTGCATAAAAATTAAAGCTTACCAAATATTATACGTGATGAAGAATATCTAATAATAGAATAAGGAAGGTTTGATTAGGATCTTTCTAGACAAGAAGGAACAACATACTCTCAGCTTCATTTAGTTGCCCCTCTTATAAGCATATTAATAACTTCATTATTTTTTTTAAGCAAGAGCAGAAAACATTTCAAACTCTTCCTTCCCTCTAAGCCCTTTGCATTCACTCCATTTAAATGTCCACCTCTGAGCCCAGTGGAAGCCTGTGGTGGTGAATCTGCATTTTACAGGTGGAGAAAGCTTAAACAGAGACATCAGGTCGTTTGCCATGAACACACAGCTCAGAAGAGGTTGGTTCAAATCCAGCAGAATCTTAACCTCTTGACCACTGCACTGACCTCCAGGTTTCTTTGGGAACTCCCCTGAGAAAGGAGAGGTGACTGTGTCACCAGTGTCCATGTGTGAGAAGAGGGACCGGAGGACAAGCCTGAGGATCCCAGGCTGCTCCTGCAGACCTTAGATCTATCTACTCTGTTTAGGCCACAGAGTTGGTTAGAAGGTAGTCAGTCACCCACGAGCCACAGGACTCACAGCAAGCCAGTTTGCAGGATGCTGCCGTGACGAGTAGCTGTAACTTCACAGCTTTGATTCCTCCCACGTGCACAGGGGCCCCCGGGTTCTTTCGACTTCCTGCTGCTTGTGCTGGCTGACATCCGCAATGACATCGCCGAGCTGCAGGAGAAGGTGTTCGGGCACCGGACTCCCTCTTCAGCGGAGGACTTCCCCCTACCTCAGGAATTTTCCAGCTACCCAGAGACTCTGGACTTGGGATCTGGGGATGACTCCTCCAGAAGAAGTGAAGCAAGAGACTCTGAGGCCCCCAGGAACTTTTATCCATAGCACGTCCCACGTCTTCATGGCACCAGAAGAGAAGCATAGCTTCGCCCAGTCATTGCATCGGAAGGAAAACACCACTGGAGGCCCAAAGCCTTTTGTCTGTACTGTCTTCCTGCCCTCTCTTGACTCTGCTTCCAAATCCTGTTTTCCAGGTACCCTGCACATCACACTGGCAACAGGAGGATGTGATGGTTAACATGCTCTTCTTGAAGAGCCGCTGGGTGGTTTTCATCAGGACCATCCTTGACATCCTAGTTCTTCGGGAGCTTTTGAATTTCTAAGTTAACTGTTCCCACAGAATCTTACATTTTGACACAGTGCCAATAGGGGAGGCAAAGTGGGCTCTTGGAAGTGTAAGGTTCGTCCTAAAAAGAAAATTGTGTTCAAAATACTTGACTGTTCACCCTTTACAGTCGGGAGTATGGCTCTTCAGTTAAAGGGGGATTGAAGGAGCACAATGTAGATTGATGTTGATAAAAAAAAAAATGACTTTTGCTTCGCAATATCACAGATTTCAAATTCTGCATCCTATTTTCCAGGCTTCTTATTTTATATTTAGTTACAGAAACAAAAGAATTAAAAAAGAAGTACAAAATGCCCTAGCACTGACCAGGTGGCCAGAAGTTCCCCCAGGCCCTGATCCTAGCTGAATCAAGGCTGGAGGGAAGTTGTTGGCCTGGAATCTTGGCAAAGGGTGACGGGGAGGCATTGAGGAGGGCTTCACTAATGCTTGATCACCAGAGGCAGGTTAATCTGCTCTTAAGACACTTGGAGTTCTCATCCCCAGCCAGTCAAGCTAACCAGTGCCCTGGGAATAATGCACAGCTGAGAGATCGCTGAGACAGAGAAGGGGAAGAGATTTTTTTCTAACTTGACATAATTTTCCACTATTTTCCCCTGATTTGGTTAAAATCCCTGTTCTAGGTCTCCTTGACTTTTTCCCCTGGGCCAGATGGAGATGGCTTGGAGGGATGCACATTCTCCAGTGTCTCCCCAAATCCTTTCTTAGAGCAATTATAGAATCCCCAGGGACTCATGTTCCCAGAAAGGAACAAGAGGCCAGGTTCCTTCCTTGTGTCTTCGAGCTCTCTTGAGCTTCCCAAGGGATCTTGCTCATATGGTTGCCTACCCCAGGGTCCCTTGTCTGCTATCCTGCAGTGTCCCCTCATAGTTCTAAGAAGTTTCCATTTACCTCTTCCCCATATCCTGAGAGGCTCCATCATCTCCCACCCCTACTATGACGGGTTGTTGGAAGAAAATTGCTATTGGGTCTGCATGGCATGGCACTGTCCATCCTTCCCGAGCAATGAGAAGGGGCTCTGTCTACAGAGCTCAGGTGGCCCAGAGGTCTTTCGATTCCTCTCCATCCCTCTTATGACCCCTTCCCTTCTCTCTCTTTTCTCTCTTCCTCTCCCTTTCCTTTGCCCCTTCTCTTCTTCCTTACTTCCTTCTATCCCTTTCCTCCTTCCCTCCCTTCCTCTCCCTCCACCAGTCCCTCACTTCTCTTATTTTCTTCCCTCCCTCCATCCCTGCTTGCCTGCTGGCCTCCTAATCCAGTAGAAAGGCAGGATTCCCACACACTCATGCTGAATCTCCAGTGGCTGTCCACCAGCAGTTCATGGTAAAGGCAAACACACACTTGCCTGCTTGTTTCCTGTCTCTTCCTCTTTCCCACTCAGTCTCTCCAGAACCTGAGCATCACCACAGATGGCCTTGCCAACCATGGGTTCCTGAAGAGATGGATGCAACCACAGTCAAGTCCCACCTGGAACCTATTTCATGCTTGCCTGCTTATAGAACCCGGAGTTTCAAGGGTGTGGATGGATGAATTCTTAATACTATGCACAGGCTCTGTGAGCAATGATATGTCCATCTTTTTTATGAGGAATTTTATAATCTCTACTTTCTCTAGACAGTGAAATGTGTCTAGAAATATAATCTTTATTGCCAAATGCTGTTTAAATACAAGCACACTCCATGCTTGGCCAGAGGCCAGGATAATGTACTAAAAGAATGAAGTGAAAGTCATAATACCCGGGATTCATGAGTCTATTCTAGATAATTATCTCCAGTAAAACATACAATAGCCTGTATCTTGTAACCTCAGTCTGCTGGACCAGGTCAATTTAGGTAATCATTACTCCTCAAATTTTCAAAACTTGGACTACCAACTACCTATAAGACCAAAGTATGCCCCCTACTTGTCCAAATTATAGGTTCTTTTCAGTGATAAAGCATTATTGCTCATGTATCTTTTTGTTGTGGATAAAAAAAAAATCAAAGCTTTACTATCTAAACAAACTTCTCAAAAATCCCATGGTTAAACAGATTTACTGAGTCACTTCTTATCTCATGGCAAAAATGTTTTTTTTTAAATATCTCCCTCAACTCATTAGTAGAATTGTTCAATTTTTCTAATCCCCACAAGTAAGACTTGTGTTTATAAAGCAATGAGAATAAAAACTCACTGAGAAGACATGCATTTTAGTTGAAAAAAACTACTCTCCCTTCCCAGTTCTAGAGGGAAAAATAATTAGCTTTCCTGTGCCCAAAAAAAAAAAAAAATATTAGTAGCCAGATACAGTGGTATATGCCTGTAATCCCAGCACCTGAGAAGTAGATATAGATAGGAGTTCAATGTCAACCTCAGCTACATAGCAAGTTTGAGGCCAGTCTAGGCTATATGAGAGCCTATCTCAAAACAACAGTAATAATAATTATAATAAATAATAATAATAATAATAATGAGTAGGAGACTGGAGAGATGACTCAGCAGTAATGATGCTTGCTGCTCTTCCCGAGGGCCAGAGTTCAATTTCCAGCTCATGCATCTGGCAGCTCACAAACTCCTATAACCCCACTTCCAGGTGATCTGATGCCCCCTTGTGGCTTCTGTGGCACCTGCACTCACATGCACATATACACACATAGATACACATACTCCTTTTTTTTTAAAGGAGTGGGTACAAAGAGGATGCTGCCCTTTCTTGCTTTCTGTGTTACTCTCCAGTACTTGCTACAGAATTAACTAAAGTCATATTGCTGTGTAGAGTCAGTCCATTGTCCAACAGGTAAATAATAAGTGCCCATTGACCTTCAAGGGAAAGAAGGAATATTACCCCACCAAAGACCAGGTGCAGAGCACCCAGGTAGGTCCAGATAGGCCATGTTCTCTTTCCAAGGTTCTAAACAACCTTGGCCTTGGGATTGTCACTATCAGGCATGTTGGGACAGATCTTCTTCATGACCAGGCATCATACTTCATCTTGGGGGTCTCAGGAAGCAACCACCCATCTTATTTTGAATATCATTTCCCTCTTCTTCCCTTATCCAGGCTGTGTCACAGAGACAGCCTCAGCAGGCGCCTCCTGCAAGCAAAATTATCTGCCAGGCAACCTTTCTGAAAGGGAAAATCATTTGCTGGGACCTGAGCCAAGCAATAGAATAGAGCCTTCTAAAGTTATTGGTCATGTATTCAGGGAAATAGATGTATTATTTCCTGACATAGTAATCATATATGTTTCACAACATATCAAAAATAAGTTTCTATTTAGATGAAAAACAAGAGCTGTAATTGTTAAAGCTGAAACAATATGCTTTATATACTCCTCCTACAAATGTTACCATCAGAGAGAAACCATGGAAAGGATGTTTGGGCTACACATCCCTCAGGGAGCTCAGCATGTTCTGTCTCATTCCCAGAGCTTGTTCCCTTGAGGGGTTCATGAGTCTGTTTCTGTTTCCCAGTGACTGGTATTATACTTCAATATCTCTCTCCATTATTTATATCAGGTCATATAACAGTCAAACTGATATTCCAACAGTCATGGATGTAATACTATGAAGTGCTTTTGTATGACTGTATATGCTTAATAACAAAGTTATTTTTCTTACGTGGTTCTCCTGTGTTTTGTCCGGTCACTACTGTAAAAGGAGCCATCCCCTGGCCAACTGAATATGGTGCATCCATTACTCTTCTTGTTGAATGTCAAAATATCTGTATGACAAAAGAAACTTTGGGGAGGGTTGTTGTTGTTGTTGTTTTGGTTTGGTTTGGGGTTTTTGTTGTTTTGTTTTGTTTTGTTTTGTTTTTTGCTCATGGTTTGAGGGACACTTCACCGTGGTGGGGAAGTCACAGCTGCAGGTATCACGGTGGCTGTTAACATTGCCTTTGCACTCAGGAAGCAGAGATACGTGCTTCCTTATTGATTTTTGGCCTCTCTGAGAACTAAGTACCGATCTATCTGCCTCCTTCCTAGACTAAGAGGGCCTGGGAGGGCTGAGGAGATGGTTTACTTGGTAAAATGTTTGCCATGCAGGCATGAGCACTCATGTTCAGATCCCCAGCACCCACGTAAAAAGCCGGGTGCCACACACATCTGTAGCCCCAACACTGGGGAGGTGGAGATGGGGATTCTTGGCGCTTGTTCTAGGTTCAGTAAGAGACCCTATTTCCAAAAATGATGTGGAAAATGACTGAGAAAGATACACTCTATTGACCTTGACTTCTATTTGCATGCCTGCACACATTCACATGAGCACACATCCACACTGATATGTGTAACACACACACACACACACACACACACACACACACACAGCCCCTGGGAACAAGAACTTGCTTTTTTTTTTTTCCTATTGGGCATCTGAACAGTTCCCAGTGTACAGAAAGAGCTGAGTAAACTAGATTTAACTAAAGTTTATTCCTCATGAACCCCTAAGACTGATGCCTTTATTATGCCACACACACATCCTGGGAGGTAAGTCATCTTGTCAAAAATGCCACAAAGCTAAAAACATTTCTAATAAAGGTGTATTTCAGAACAAACCAGAATCACTGTGTTTGTTGACTTTGTAAGCGTAGCACAGACATACACACAGTTTTCCCCACTTGGGAATCACTTAAAAGTTTACCGCGGTGCAGAAGATAACACAAAGAAAGTGTGTCAACAAGACATCACAGGGCCATTTGCTTCCCAATGCTCTATTCCACACTAGGCGCTATGAGGTGACTGACAAATGTGTAAGTAAGGCTGTTGGGATTGTCTTTAGTGGCGAAGAAAAAAATTAGCAAAGCTAATACAGTTACTCCCCAAAGGTAACTTGGAGCCAACACTCAAAAAGGGGAAACAGAATAGATTTAGCAAATGGTCTAATACAAGGAAACCTGCAATTGTTTGGGATAATTTTTATGTCAATTCCTTATTAGTAGCCATTGCCAGCATATTTCACATTGAGCTGCATGCAAACAGAAGAATGTTCTGATTCTGTCTCTGCACCGGGCACTTACTGAACAGATAGTGCTCTGGTGGGTGAACTTGATGGGGTAAAGCATAGAGGCTTTGGGGAGTGACCAGCCAGATCATAACTTCCGTGGTTTTCAAAGCTTCTGAGCATGATCCACTGAGAAAGTATGATTTACAGAATATGCCAACATAAACACTTGTATACTTATAGTTGAAGCAAGCATTTCACAATGTTTACTCTTACCATATAGACTACATTCTCATGTTCTCTCTACACAATTGTTTACAATTTGGGTCACACCCCGAGTTGTCTTCATGACTTTCCGATGGGTAGCAGCCCATAACTTGAAGACCAGTTGACTAAATCAGCCCCCTCAAACTTTACACATCAATCATCTGCAGACCTTTACAAAAATGAAGACTGACTCAAGGGGTTTGAGGTTTGCATTCTTGCAAGCTCCCGAGTGATGTGATGGGTTCATGAAATGAGCTCTATGGAGCAGAGACTCATCTCTCTCACAGGAATGTATGCTCTGATCATCACACACAAGCAGGGCAAAATTAGATGAATTTGCAACTCTGACAGGAGTTGAGAGTTCACATATGGCTATTATATCCTGATGACTTAGTCTCTTCTACTACTTTAAAAAATTATATGGTTGGCCCCATGTCCATGGAATCAACCGAGGATCTAAAATATTCAGGAAAACATTTTGTGTCCATACTGAATACATGCAGACTTTCTTCTTGCCCCTCTTTAAGCCATACAATTATTTACACAGCATTTCACTGTGCTGGTTATGCAAGTAATATAGAGATAGAAAGTCAATGGGTGGATCTGATGGGTTATGTGCAAACATACCACCTTTAAAAATTTGTTTTCATTTATATATGTGCATGTGTGTCTGTGTGACTGTATGCCATGTATGTACAGTGGCCGTCAGAGGCCAGGAGAGGGTGTCAGATCCACCTAGCATAGGTCCTGGGAACTGAACTCAGGTCCTCTAGAAGAGCAGCAAACACTCTAATTGCTGAGGTACCTTTCCATCCCCAAGTCACTTTTTTTATAAAGCACTTGAAAAATCCTTAGAATTCTGTAGCCAAAGAGAAGAGGTTGCTAGAGCCAATCCCTTGAGGAATCCCTGGAAACTGGTGCATCCTAAGACACCAAGAACTAGAACTTCTCTGGTAGCCTGACATAGTGGCACATACCTTTAATCCCAGCACTCAGCCAGGACACAGAGACAAGGGGGTCTGCTAGAGTTCCAGGACAGCCAGGGCTACACAGATAAACCCTGTCTCAAAAAGAAAAAGAAAAGAAAAGAAGAGAGAGAAAAAAGAACTTCTCCAGTAACTTTTTATAAGGAATAAAGTTAGAGCAGTGAAGGAAAAGATGGTGTCCCTGAGGGGCCAGAGGAAAGATAGCAAACACGACCCTTGTCCTGTGTATTGACTCTCGCCAGCCTGGGCCCTGGCCTGGACACAGCCACTCGTATTTTGGAGGCTGACTCACAGAGTTAAAAGGGCAGTAACAAAGTCCACAAAGCAAGCTGACCCTAGTAATCTGGATTCTCCAACTGTGCCTGCCTGCATGGTGTCAATTCCGCCAGCTTCCCCTGGTGACTTCAGTTACTGGTTCTTCTCCATTTCAGGCCTAGGTGACAACTTAGATTCTGGATTGGCACTGCTCTGCTCCAGTGTACCCTCTGCTGCCTTCTACCCTTATCGATCTCTAACATCCCCACAGCAGCACTGGAAAAGGGAGCCAGTGGGAAAAGGATGAAGCCAGGAGGGAGATGGTATCTGTGGGGTCCTCAGGATCATATTTTGCTAACATTTTTTTTGATGTTTGGGGATGAAACCATTTCCAAAGTCAACTTTTAAACTGTAGTTGTGAGTGTCCTTGGCTCTGTCTCCTCAGCAGAAACAGCAGCATGCAGCACCTGCTCCGACTCATCTTAGAAGTTGCTGTGAGTCTTCTGCAGAGAATGCACAGCCTTCTGCCACGTGCCTTATAACTGAAAAACCATATCATGTGGAAGAAATACCTCTCCCGTGTACTGACAGGATCATTTATTTACAATTTAGTAAGAAACCTCAGCCCAAACCAGCTAATCGCATACATAAACGCAAAGAACCATCTGCGGACCATTTGCCTCCTGGAAAAGAAAAAGGTGCCACAAATTGAATTAGGCTCGGATTATTCAGGGGGGAAACAACAGCTGGAAAGCGTTTTGAAAAGCGATTCCTTCAAAACAGTCTTCCAGGGTACCGGGCAAATGCGTTTTTCCTTCAAGTTTTATTCTATTAGCCCTGTTGACTGTGGAGACCCAGTTCTACCAGCGAGATTGACAAGAGCTTTGTCTACAAATATCTCCATGATATGGGATGAAAATCTTTGGTGTGATTTGATCTGGGTGTTCTAAGTACACAAAACTGGGCCCCCGGCCATACACAGGTACCGTTACCATACCAATAGCTCTGGGCTCTGTGTCAAAACGGCGCTTTCTCTTAG